TCTCTCTCTCTCTCTCTCTCTCTCTCTCTCTCTCTCTCTCTCTCTCTCTCTCTCTCTCTCTCTCTCTCTTCTCTCTCTTTCTCTCTTTCTCTCTCTTTCTCTCTCTCTCTCTCTCTCTCTCTCTCTCTCTCTCTCTCTCTCTCTCTCTCTCTCTCTCTCTCTCTCTCTCTCTCTTTCTTCTCTCTCTCTCTCTCTTCCTTTTTCTTCTCTCCCTCTCCTCCCCCCCCCTCTCTCTCTCTCTCTCTCTCTCTCTCTCTCTCTCTCTCTCTCTCTCTCTCTCTCTCTCTCTCTCTCTCTCTCTCTCTCTCTCTCTCTCTCTCTCTCTCTCTCTCTCTCTCTCTCTCTCTCTCTCTCTCTCTCTCTCTCTCTCTCTCTCTCTCTCTCTCTCTCTCTCTCTCTCTCTCTCTTCTCTCTCTCTCTCTTCCTTTTTCTTCTCTCCCTCTCTCTCCCCCCCCCCCCTCTCTCTCTCTCTCTCTCTCTCTCTCTCTCTCTCTCTCTCTCTCTCTCTCTCTCTCTCTCTCTCTCTCTCTCTCGCTCGCTCGCTCGCTCGCTCGCTCACTCTCGTCTATCTGTCTATCTATCTGCTTGTGTTTACTCATGTGCGTTACTATGAGTGATGACGCAGATGTTGGCGCACATCACACTGCCTGTCTGCGATGACTGTGACGTCACATCCGCCACGTCATTCGCCAGCAGGGACCACGTGTCAAGGAGCTATTCGATCGGTGTCGCCCCCCCCCCTCTCATTTACTCACTTCGGAGGGTATTCCGTGAGTGATCTTTGAAGTTATGAGGGTTTGTTGGTCGCCTAGGAAAGGTTTGGCGGTATAGATCTTAGAGCGGGAGGTGAGTGGGTGGGACGCGGGGGGGAGGGGGTGGGGGTGGGTGGGGGAGAGCGATTGCCTTGGTGAGATATTTTGATGTTTGTTTATTATTATTATCACGCTCACGTTCACGTTCACGCTCATACTCACTCATACTCACACTCATACTAATACTCATATTCATACTAATACTCATACTCTTACTAATACTTACCCTTAAACTCACAACTCACACTCATACTCACACTCACACTCACAACTCACAACTCACAACTCACAACTCATACTCACCCTCAACTTCACCCTCGCACTCAGCTGGCACAAAATACGAACGTGTCAAAGCGAGCGGTAGAAGCGTCACACTTAACTTTTTTTATATACCGGTTCCGATTAATGTCTTCAGTGCGCATGATTTTTACATTTATCAGAATCCCGTTCCTGTTGTGCATCTGTGTTCAGGGATATTTAGTTTGTTTGGTTGGTTTCCCTCGCGTTGCTACACGTTTTTTTGTTTTTGTTTTTGTTTTTGTTTTCTTGAAGTGTGAGTGTGTGTGTGTGTGTGTGTGTGTGTGTGTGTGAGTGTGTGTGTGTGTGTGTGTGTGTGTGTGTGTGTGTGTGTGTGTGTGTGTGTGTGTGTGTGTGTGTGTGTGTGTGTAAGGGAGTGTGAGTGTAAGTGTGAGTGTGAGTGTGAGTGAAGTGTGAGTGTGTGTGTGTGTAAGTGTGAGTGTGAGTGGATGTGTGAGGAGTGAGTGGTAAAAGTGTGTCGGGAATTAATGCCACACCTGGGATAAGAGAGTGCAGGTGTTGCTTACGAGGGGGGGGGTGAGGGAGAGGTGAGGGGGAACGGGGCGTGTGAGGAGGGATGTAGGGCAAAGGGGAAGGGGGAGGGGGAGGCAAGGCAGGGGGCGGGATGAATCAGGAAGAGAGGGGGAGGGAGAGAGAAAAAAGGGAGGGAGCAGGTATGAGGGATAAAAGAGGGAGAGGGAGAGGGAGAAGGAACAGTAAAAGACGGGGGAAGGGGGAAAGGAGAGGGGGATAGAGGAGGAAGGTAAGGAAAGGGAAGGGGGAGGAGGCAGGGAAAGGGAGATTAGAGGAGAAAGATGCAATAATACAAATTTATTGGCTTCAGGCTAAAACATTACACGGAAAGAAAATAAAAAGCATATTAAAAGTCATTATCCATTAAGCAAAATACTTCTATGTGGACGTAGAGAATATTTGAACTAGTACACATGACATAGGAAAAATATAAGTATGCATTACAAATTAGGCCATACAGAGAAAACATATAGATATAATTCAGTGTTAATTACTTAAGTGTGTCATAGATATGATTGATATAGAGAAGAAAAACACTTGGCTTTCGAATTCAAGGATGTGATTAGTAGTGATCGAAGTATGACTCAATCAATTTGAATTTGAACCGTTTTATAATCCCCTGGAAAGGAGTTCCGCAGCTTTGAGCCCCAGAACAGTACGTTGCGTTGGAGAGGGAGAAGATGGATGGAGGAAGAGAGAGGGACGGGGAGAGAGGGAAGGAGGGAGAGAGAGGGAAGGAGGGAGAGAAGGAGAGAGAGAGAGAGAGGGAGGGAGGGAGGGAGAGAGGGAGGGAGGGAGAGAGGGAGGGAGAGAGAGAGAGAGGGAGAGAGAGAGAGAGGGAGGGAGAGAGAGAGAGA